TTGCCCTGGACCACTACCGTGCAACAGTTCCCGCCTTTTCCCAACTGCACACTGCGACCAAGAGGCTACTTAACGGCATTGAGGTCGACGATCGCAGCCAGAGACCAGAGGCGATGATGTTCTTTGTAGACGGGTCTAGCCAGACCCAGCAAGCAAGCTGGTCAGTTGCCTGTTTGACGCTTCGCGGTCAGATGTGGAGGTGGTGGGGATACTTAGCTGATGTTGTAGATCGCAACCTCGGGGCCACAGACGCCTTCGCAGGCGAGCTCTGCGCTCAGCTCGTCACCCTATGCACCATCGGTCATGAGAAGCTACCTGCTTCAGTGCATTATGACTGCAGTAGTGCGGCACAGGTGGTAACTTGTCATTCAGCACGATGCGCCGACGGGGCCTTGAGGCGTGCTGCTGCGTCAACGGCTGTGTACCTCACAGTTCATGATTGTATGCCCGCCCTTGCCCATGTCAAGGCGCACAACGGCCACCCCGGCAATGAGCTAGCTGACCATCTAGCAAAGGTGGTTGTTCATCGGCAAGAACACAGGGTGTCGGGGGTGGAGTCGGGTTTCTTTGATTTTGTTCTTGAAGGGGCGTTTGATTGGTTGTGGGCGTTTCCCGCCTCTCACAAGTGGCCGTCCATGCCTCCGATGGCAGACGACTGCACAACCACACCGAGTGCACCTTTTGCGGATGCTGCGATTTACCAGTCGCCATCGCAGTGGTCCCCCACTCCAGCCCAGCACGTGCCGGCAACTTACCGACTGCAATGCCGGCTGGCGACGTAAAACACTCTGTCCTGCCTGTCGAACCTGCAGCGCCAATGCCTACAGAGTTTCCAAGAGGCCAACGAGCTAACTGTGCTCGCTCTACAGGAATGCCGTATCAGCTGTGAGCCGGTTCAGCAAATAGGGCAGGCCCTTAGGTTTGCAAGTGCGGCCGACAATGGCCAGCTTGGGTGCCAGCTATGGTTTCGCATGTCACCAGGCCTTGGTTGGTCCAGGCAGAGCTTTCGCATCGCATTTCAGCACCCGAGGCTACTTGTGGTCTACGCTAAGCTTGAGCAATGCCCCCTTGCCTTCTTTTCTGGACACTGCCCCACTGCTGCTTCGACCCAGGCAGCCAGGGACGAATGGTGGCAGATGCTGCGCCAACGCATGTTAGCACTGCCCCCCTTCACCGTCCCGGTTCTTATGCTTGATGCCAATGCAAGGTTTGTGCGATCCGGCAATGAGGAGCAGCCGTCTAACAACAATGCCCACGCCTTCACGGCTTTTTTGGCCGAGTTCGGACTCAGCCGCTCACGTGCATTTGAGTCAGACGGCAGCGCCCGCAAGTCATGGCGACCGCCCTGTGGGGCACCTGCTGTGTGCCTTGACTACTTGGTGTGGCCGGCTGTGTGGGACGAAGGAGTGCAGGACGAAGGCATAAGAGACATAGCGGATGAGCATGCGGATGTCGATCATCAGCCTGTCACGGCCAATGTGACCCTCAAACTGCAGCAAAAGGAAGCACGTAGCAGGCGAGTTGATTGCGAGGCGACGCGCGGTAATGAGGGGCGAGCCAAACTGGGTCAACTGTTGGCCACCGCTCCAAACCTACCTTGGAGGGTCTCAGTCAATGACCACCTCGAGGCCCTCAACAAGCATCTGCAGCAAGGCATTGCCGAGCTCTTCCCTGTGCAGCATAGTAAGCCACGCAAGCCCACTATCAGCGATAGGACGTGGGCCATCCTCCAGGAAAAGAGGGTGCACAGGAGGTGGTTTCGGCGGAGGAAGCAAGGCTTTACCCGGTGGAGTCTAGGGACATGCTTCAATGCGTGGCGCAATGGAGGCGCGGGAGCGGATGTGACCAGGCGACTTAAAGCCTTTGATCAGCACGCAGCTGACCACATGAGTGAGATGAGGCGGCTCACGGCCCAGGCCCGCCAGGCACAGAAGGAGGATGATGCCCAATACACGAGGGCGATGTTTGCAGAGGCTAGGCACCAAGGGCCAGAAGCTGTTGCCAAGCAGATACGGGCAGTGTTGCGGCGAGGCCGAAACCGTCGAGTAGCTGCAGTAGCTGTCGAGCTCGAGACTCCAGCTGGACCCATAACGGAACCCGCTCAAGTTCAGGCGGCTTTTGCTGAGCACTTTGGGCGGGCAGAGAACGCGATGCCGCAGCAACTGCACGATCTCATGCAATGCCCAAGGCGGTTGGATACTTCGCCTGTGCGCCTCGAAGAAATCCCGACTGTTGTAGATCTCGCAGCTTCCTTTGCCTCCCTCAAAGCGAGGAAAGCGCCGGGTATCGCACAGATCCCGGCGGAAGTCTACAGCGGCAGTCCACTGCAAGCTGCACTTCTGCATTTACCGCTTCTTTTGAAGATATGCAGCAGACGAAGCTTTCCCACACTGTGGGCAGGAATGTTAGCATGCGCATTGCCCAAGCCGCACAAGCCACACAATCGCCTCGAGGGGTATAGGTCGGTTGCGCTAGTTGAGCCTGCGGCTAAAGGGGTTTTGAAGGCGCTTCGGCCGGCACTGAACAATGGATTTGAGTCCGTCGCTCTCCCCACTGTTGGGGGGGCGAGGAAGAAACATCCCACAGAGCTCGCGGCGCTTAGTGTGCAGGGCCACTTATCGGGACTCCACCGAAGAGGAGCCTCTGGTGCGGTTCTATTCCTTGACGGCGTGTCAGCGTTCTACGCTGTGCATAGAGGACACCTCTTCAGTGACAACCTTGCCCAATTGCAGCAGCATTTGGATGGACTTGCCCTTGAGGAGAGCGTGCGTCAGAGAATCCTTGCTGCGATCTCGGACAAAGGCGCCTTGGATAGAGCTGGTGTCCCGGATGGAGTGCAGCAGTTGCTGCGAGCGGCCTTTGCAGCGACATGGTTTGTTGTTGACACCTGCCAACCTGTGGTGCAGGTCACTGCCAAAGGGACCACGCCCGGGTCACCTCTAGCAGACATCCTCTACCAGTTTGTCTCGGAGGTGTCCATGAGATGTCTCTCTGAGCAGTTGAAGGACGAAGGCATAGCTGCCGTGTGTGGCGAGGGTCCCTGTAGCGCCGAAGCGCTCCCGCAATCCTGGTTGGACGATGTTGCCATCTTGGTCGGTGCTCATGAGGCCTCCCATGTCAGGACGAATGTTGCGCGAGCAGCGTGCCTGGCACAGCAGTACCTTGCGGTGACCGGGGTGGAAGTTAACTACGCCGCCGGGAAGACGGAAGCGATTGTGGTGTTCAACGGCAGGGGCGCTGCAGCCGCTAAGCGTGACCTGTTCGTGGACGGTTTGGGGCGTTTGGAGGTCTGTGCGCCTGACCAGGGTCGGCAGAGCCTGCGCTGTGTGGCGGAGTACACGCACCTCGGAACAGTGCGAACACACAACGCTTCCTGTGTTCATGCCATTCAGAGTCGTGCAAGGCTTGCCCGAGATGGATATCAGGCTTTCAAGTACCGAATCTTGGCAGATGAATTCCTGACAGGCTCTGAGAAGCGGGAGCTATTCAAAGCCATGATTCTGGCGAAGTTCTTGCACGGAGCAGGAACGCTTGAACTTGGTTCCCAACACGCCTTCGGCGCCTTTTCCAGGCAGTATGTGGGCTTAGTACGTGGAGCCATACGACCCCTGTACAAGGTTCCGTGCAGGAGGCTCACAGATGAGCAGGCATGCTCCCTAATGGAGGTCCTCCTCCCAAGGGAAGCGATGGACATTGCTTTACTGCGCACATGGGCATATGCCACTGCGAAAGGGGACGCATACCTAAAGGGTTGCCTACGAGGATCCGACTGGGAGCGTGAGCTCCAGCCAGCGCTTTCTCGCGTGCTCGGAATGGTCAGTGACGCGCGGATCCGCCCGGGCCAGGATGTACAGAATGGGTTTCCCCTTGATGTGCCTCAAGCCAGGGCCCTGCTGAGGCGATTCCGCCGAGCATGCATAGCTGGTCGAAGCGAGTTGATCGGGCCGGCCTTGCGCAAAGCCAGTGCGCATGACCAAGCTGAGAGAGATGGTTTGTTCTACTGCCGCATTGACTGCGACAGGCTAAGGCGAGCGTCTCGGCACGTTTGTGCACATTGCTCACTGGCGTTTGACTCGGCAGCCGCGCTGGGCTCGCACCTGGCGAAGATACATGCAGCAGCAGCACCGTCTGCGCATGGGTTTGGAACAGCATGCGAGGTGTGCAGAAAGCAGTACTGGTCCACGGCGAGGCTACGTCAGCACTTGCGCAGGGCGAAGAAGTGCGCCAGGGTGTACATCGAAGCTGATTGCTGCCCAGGTCAGGCCCAAGAAACCCTTGCCGATTGCACCATACCGCCAACCGCACTGATTGGTCCTGCCCCTTGGTGGGCGGTGCAAAGTTTTGATGAGGTAGCTTGCAGCAACGTGACTCCTGTCGGCCCAGATCCCCTGATGTCTCTGTCCTCGCTGACGGCCCTACATCAGTTGGCACCCTTTTTGAGAACATGGACCAGAGCGGTCGAGTCTGGTTGGGAGCCTCCCCTCATTTTACCTCACAGTGTTCAGGAAGGAATAACTTCGCTTGCTGTACAGATAGCTGAAGCGATTGGAGTTTCTTCTGATGTACGAGTTTTGCAGTCTGGCGAACTCGGTGCCCTGGTCTGCTGGGATACAGTCCTTTGCGGACATATTAAGCAAGTACGCGAAGCGCACTTGACTTACTGGGCAGACCTGTGATGCATGGTTTGTTCGAATTTAGGAGTGCGTCCGACGGACACAAGCCACGACGGAAAAAAAACCAGTTCTACTAATTATTCAGGCTTGTGTATTACACTACCGCTCCGTCCGCACGGAGGAGGTCAGGCTTTTTCTTTAAGAAAACGGCTTTTTGCGGCTTAGGGCTTAGAGGCTTAGAGGCTTGGACATTAGAGTATATGGTTTAGGGCTTGGAAGGTTTAGGCTTTCGGAGTTTCAGGTGTGGGGTTGTTTTGAGTTTAGGGTTTGGGGCTTGATGTGCACTTCGGATGAGGGGTTGTGGGATTTGCTTGCATCCAAGGCTGCCTCGATGATTCGACACAACAGCTCCTTGCACGCATGTAGGGTTTAGGGTTTAGGGCTTTTGAGGGCATGTCAATAGGTTTCGCACGACGGGCTCTATGGGCTCAGTTACGGATTTAAGGGTTTAGTTTAGAGTCTAGGGTGCTGGATTCGGTGGTGAGAGGCAAGGATTTGCGTGGTTCAAAACTCTCCAAGAGTTAAGGGACAATAGGAGGGACCCCTGGAAGGGATCCCTTATATACCCCTTATATAGCCTCATAAAGCCCCTATATAACCCCAAGGGTCCCTTTAAGGGTCCCTCCTTCAGTCCCTTGAAAGAGGGTTTCAGCTTCGGATTCGGACTGCGACAAACCAGATCCCGGTGTGCCGGGCCAGTGAATTCGCCAAGTCTCATCCCCGTACGACTACTCTCAGCCTCTTAAAGGTGTTTACACAGTCAGTTACAGAACCCTAAACCCTAAGCCCCAAAACCCGAAACCCTACCCTAAACCCTAAAACCCTAAAACCCTAAACCCCAAAGCCTAAACCCCCGTATATTCCTCAACTCAAGGTACAAAATTTGGGGGTTTAGGGGCTCAGGGTTTAGGGTTGAAGCGCCCAGGGTCTCCCGTCCGAGATTCATCAAACCGCTGCTTCCCCGTGGTTTGGGAACTTAGGGTTCAGGGCATGTGGGGTTTTAGAGCTTAGGGCTTTGGGCTTTGGGTTTAGGGGTTTAGGGGTTTAGGGGTTTAGGGGTTTAGGGGTTTAGGGGTTTAGGGGTTTAGGGTTTAGGGGTTTAGTGGGTTAAAGCTAGGCGTTCTTTCTTTGGGGGGGGATTGGAGTTTTTCCCGAAACCAGTTAGAGGCACGTTAGCCTGGTGGGTGGAGCAGTGGCTTTACTGAATAGGGCAGTGGCCTAAATAATTACCTGCACTGCTTTGGGGGTTCCTTTTTATAACTATAGTATAGTATACCCCAAAACCCTATTCTAATTATTAAGGCCCCTATACCCTAAACTTTTATAGTAACCCTTATAGAACCCTTAAAAAGGAAGCCCACAGCCCTATTCTATCTATTAAGGGTCCTACATTCGGGCAGGGGCCCTGCTCCTGAGGCAAGGCCGCAAGACGGGCCATGAACGGGACCCCGGCTTCGCCAAGCGCGAAGGAAACCAGGAAAACCCAGCACGGTTTAGGGTTTAGGGTTTAGGGTAAACCCTAAACCCTGAACCCCTTGCCAAAAAGCCTGCACACAAGGAGGCCTCGTAATCTAGGAGCCTGCACTGATCGGATCTTATAGGGTGTTGGGGGGTGTGAGTATAGGGGCCTTGAGACTTCGAATGGAGTTCTAATTATCAAGGCCCGATATTACGAAAAAAACCTGGCCCTCAACTTCACCGTGAATCCACTCTCGGGATCCCTAAACGAACCGTTATAGAACCCTTCGCTTCAAGGGATTCCAATTTCATTCTTAAGGCCCCTATGCAGTAACAGCACGAAAGTTGGAACATGATTCCCCTGATGCGCTTCTTCTGAAGTTTAGCTTTTCTGGGGTTCACTAAATCACCCTAAACCCTAAACCCTAAACCCTAAACCCTAAACCCTAAACCCTAAACCCTAAACCCCTAATATAGGAACCTGATTTAGAAAGCCGGGGTCCTTATTGGGGCTCTCCGTATGAATCCGAGTTTAGTCGGAGAATAAGGGTTTAGGGTTTAGGGTTTAGGGTTTAGGGTTTAGGGTTTAGGGTTTAGGGTTTAGGGCCAGGGTTTCTTAACCAGGCTCCTACATTATTACGGATTAGGGTTTATGCGTGAGGGTTTGGTATTGATGATATGTTGTAGATGCTCACCTCACCGAGCGTGTTGTTGATATAGTTGTGGTATTGCCAATGCAGAACTCACACGCGCAATTGTACACAATGTAGAGCGGCGCACCCTTCCTTTTCTCACTCGCCTTGGCTGACGTTGAGTCTTTGCAG